GCATCATCGTGGCTCAGAATCTGCTGGTCAGAGTGACTGAAATATGTACAAGTCTCTTTTCCCAGCTCAGCACTTGAAGAAGGAGTCAGGATTCTTCTGTTCTCGTTCTCAAGGTTGTTTATTATTTCTTATCTAGAACATTCTTTCTCTGACTTGCCAAGGTCTGTCTGTTAGGTTGGGTTGAGGCACACTGCCCACTAAAAACTATGTGTACATTATTTATAATAACTTCTTAATACTTATCACTTATGTTAGACAGTGAGTTTCTACCTTAAACTAATTTAAAAGTGCTACTACCACAGCAGAAGATGAAGGCCAAGAAGAAGAAGGGAAAGACTGGGCATGCTTAGATTCTTCTATCTTGCTTTCTGAACCCTTATTCTAAAAACTCCAAAAATCTGTTTTTCACCTCGTGACAAAATAACTATTATTCTACTTAAACTCTCTTGACTTGTCATTCTTCATATAAAGGTGGTAATTTGCTTTATGGGTCAAAATCAAACTCACAGGTGTCTTGGGCTTTGTGCCAAGGTCTCTGAGCCCCTTGGCAGGGGCTTGAGCCATGTAAGACAGCCAGAGAGATGTCTTGGCTTCCGACAATTATGGTTCCAAACCATCAAGACGAGTTGGGATGTAAGGTGGAATGAGTAGAAGACAACAAAATTTGGTGACTGGATAAAGACCCTGGAAGTGGTTAATGTCATTATTACCTGTTACGCTTTTTTTTCTACAAGTAATAGGCCTTTAAAACTAGTATATAGAGTTATTTGGGGGATCTGTTCTAGGGAGTGCCTCCAGAAAGTGACAATGATAGCCTGGGATTATGACAAGAGCAGAAATGAAGCCAGGTGAATGGAAAGAAGCAATCAGACAGGAATTGCATCACTGATGCAGAATAGAGAATGTTTCTGACTGAAAGTGGCAGTTTCTCCTCCTTCCCATCTCAAATGGGATGTATGGAATATAATAATCATAATAATAATCCCTGCCACACAAATACATAATCTGTGAGCACCCCCAGTTTTCCTCACCCAGAAAGTGCACCATCTATAGAAAACAGTCAATATTTTGCACACAGAATCATTAAGGTTAGAAGCGACCTTCAAAATTATCTAGTCTAATTGTCAATCCAGCACCATCATAACTACCCCTAAACTACAGCCACAGGTGCCACATTCAGATGCCTCTTCAACATGTCCCAACATGGTGACTCCACCACCACCTTGGGCAATTTATTCCAGAGCCTGACCACTCTTTCAGTGAGTTTTTTTTCTTAATATCTAATCTGAATCTGAATCTCCCTGGCAAAATTCTTGATAATGTGAGATTGATATGACTTTTCTGGTAATTTTTTACAAATTCCCAGTTTTCCTGCAGCAGTTATGGAAGACACTTTGCTCATAGCATGGTGATGATGCACAAAGGCTACGCTTGTGGTTCTGATTATAAGAAGTGTGGGACCACTTATATGTCAGGTCTCTGGATCTAGGCCTGCTGAAGGTGAGTTGGGTCCTATTTCATCAAAAAGCAGAAATGTCACAGGTTCAGCAAGCCCTGAGAGGTCCCAGAGCCCTCCTTGGACTTTATACCCTCCTTTACACCCTGTCATCTATTCTCCCTTCAGTTGAGAATATCTTCATTCCTGATACTCCACTCAGTCTGGCAGGACACAATATATAAACACACACACATGCAAATATAAATTCATTGATGCACCTTCACCTTACCATTCTGAACTCCTTCCGGCAGCAGTAGCCTCTCCAGGCTGACTGAATGGCTACAGCAGACCTCCTCTGTTTCAGGAACTGCTTCCTAAACAGACACACATGGGAGGTGACAAACAACAGGTTATCTCTGTTGCTTCTTATGATAGTAGCAGAGAATAAAGTGGCTTTTTTCCCCCTTTTTGGGGATGTCCACAGTCTGATGTCAGCCTTATTTGCTGCAAAAATACTCACAGCAACTGCAGACCAAATTAATTGCTGTGTAAGAGAGCTCTGTAAGAACTGAAAACCCCTCACATCAAGACTGTACAAGTTAACTTCCCCATCTAGTAACCTCTTTCTCTCTGTTTTGCTGCCAGGATGAGGAGCCCATCTGAGCAAGATGAACCTCAAGATGGTACAAACTGTCACACTGCAACTGAAAAAGGCAGCACATAGCTCGGTGGATTAAAAGTAAAAGCAAGGTGAGACTTTTGGTTTGGATACTCTGTTGGATAGCAGACAGAGTCTGAAAAAAAAGAGAGGGAAGTTTTGGGGCATTTGTGTAATATTTTTTAGTTATTCCTTCACTATGGTCAAGAGTATTTTTACACCAAACCAAGACTGAGTCCTATATCATGGTTCTGATTGAGGGGTTACAAGATCCATGAGTACAAATCATGATGTAAAGCATTTAATGAGGACAGACATTTATTTGACAGTGACTAAATTTCACTTCTGAAGAGATTTCAAACTAAACCAGACACAATGCCAGAATCAGGCATCTTTGGCAAAGAGGAAGACTAGTTAGTTTCCATCTGATTCTTATCAACATCTTGTATCCTAGAAGCAATCTAACTAAGACAATTCTTGTAGCTGAGGAGGGTGCAGATTCCATGGGGATTTCCTGCTTTCCAGATGTCTACTGTTTACTAAAAATATTAGGAGCAAGTCCTCCTTTCAAACTTTCCTTTACATACATGCCACAGCCCTGCATTTTGAAAAACATCGCGAAAATAACAAAACTGAGCCAAAACAAATCTTTATCCAACATCTGCAGAGAAACACTGTACATTATTGCATAATGAGCGTGAAATTTAGGGCTAGTGGAAGGTATAGTCATACTCAAAAATGCTGCACAGAGTGTGTTAAGCTGCACCACAAAGATTAGCTACTTCAAAATAAAGCAAATTCCCTTCTGTAAGGTCACTGACCTGTCCTTCAATCCTCTCATCACCTTCTGGATAAGAAGAACCTTATCTGTGAGTACATTTTGGAGTTGCAGCTCCAATACAGTGTCATGATAATCCTGTTAAAAGAAAGTGTGGATATGCCAGCTTAGCAGACTCACCTAAAACCTCTGGAAATGGGACACATGGTCTGAAAGAGACCCAAAATCAGCATAATGTGACTAAAATGCATTTATGGTACTGCATTAGGAAGAGTGCACACCACCTGACCAGACTTGGTCTAGCTATAGCCATAAACAAGAAAGAATCTGCCTGTAGCAAGACTGTTTTCTTGGGGGTATGCTACAGGCAAGGTGGTCCTCTGCAACAGTGCACTGGTATCCTGTTCTTTTATATGCACCAACACATTGCACTGTGCTGTTTCAGCTGCAGCGCTGTAGCACAGGAACAGGATCAACCTCTCCTACACCAAACCCTCTCCATTGAATTATTTGGCTTTCAAGAACAAAGATCCACCCTCAGATTCAAGAGAGAGTTTGTAAGACAACCCAGTCCTCCTTGGTTGTCACTCTTGCACAAGCAGGCCAAGCTGTACTGTGAAGCATCCAGTTTTTCATGAGAAAAGACAATAAACTGTCCTTTTTACTTACTTTAAGGAAAATCTTGGTCCTTCCAACTTGCCAGCTTTCATCCTTGCCCAGCACTGCTTGGGAGATGCTGATGCAGCTCTGTCGAGCATCATTCTTCAGCTGATGTGCAAAAGCATCATGATGTTAGGGCTTGGCTGTGAAACACAGCAAGTGAAACACAGCAAGGATCTACTGGCCTGCATTCCAAAGGGTGAAGAGCAGAAGCAGATGAGGTCTTGCAGACCTCTGGGATGGCAGTACCATGAATGAAAGTGGTTCAGCTCAAATGGTCAGCAAGAGGAGGGATGTGATTGCCTGACTAAACATTCTAGAGTCAAGGTATGAGGAGGACATCAGAGACCTGAGAATTGTGTGATCACAGTAAAAAACCATCTGGGGGCAATGGGAATGGGGATGGTGCCCTGCCTGGGATATCTGTGAGGAGCAGGCCAAGGACAGCTGGACCTCAGAGCAACTCTGTTTTCAGTTAAGTTTGAAGGGAGTATTTAACTATTCAGCTATAATTACTGTGATAACAGTTCCTATGATGACTTCTCCTGTGCTGACAGCTCCCTCAACTCTGCCAGCAGTAATTCAAAAACTTTCTTCTGTGGGAAAGACTAAAGCCTCATAAGGAAAAGTTAGATTAGCCTTACACCATGTTTTTGCTTGCACACCTTTTGTCGCTGAGACCATGGCAGAAGAAATCTGTATCTCTCAAAGAACTCCTCAAAGCTGTAGCGGATGGGGTACCCGGCCTTCCGGATCTGGATGGTCTCCATCATCCCCGAGTAGCGCAGCTGCTTGATGCACAGCTCCCGGTCAAACAGCTGCAGGGAAAGCAGACAGGGAGGAGACTGAGAAAAGGTACATGTGCAGTGTCCCTCAGAACATGTCTGTTCACCTCCAGCCTCAGAGGACCTGCAAAATGGCATACTGTGCTTTTTTAAATTGTATTTTTCTTCTGTGCAATTAATTAATTAATTACAAGCATAAACAAGTCACCCCAAAGGACCTTCAATTTTATGTATGTCAGCAGTAGACACAGTCTGTTTACTTCAGTCTGGCTCCCATTTTTTGTTCTAAAACTGCGATTTCAGATGAACAGTGACTTCATCATACAATTTTGTAGGTGTGAATAGATGCATAATCAACTTAGGCCTTTGGGTATACCATGCCAAGCACAGCAGGCATCCTGCTCTTTTCTTCTTATTATTGTTTAATCTTATCTGAGTTTAAAAGTTGGCTCACTAAGCCACATGCAGTGCTTCAAGAAATTTTAAATCACTTGACCAACACCATACAAGATTTTCCAGTAGAACCAGGTCAAAATTCCCCAAGTCCCAGCCACGTGTCCTAATGACAAATGGACTCTTCCTGGTATGTCAGATTAAGCCAAATCACCTCTCTCACAAACTCCCATAGCTCTCCTGTTCTCTCTCAGGCTATCTCATAGTATGATCATTGTTGATTCTGATGTTTTTTGGTTGTTCTTGTGTTGAGGGTCTACAGACTTTTCAGTTTTATCTTTACTGAAAAGGTGTCTATAACTTTACTCAGGAATACACCTGTGTGCTCTTTTGCTATCCATTACTCTATGGTGCTTTTTTGAGATGCTTTTGCAAATTAACCATATATCCTTCTGTTATGTTTATTGCAGGAATACCCTGTACTCCAGCTCTCCTTGGGTGCAGCCAAGTACAACTAGAAAATGTTACACAGAAACTGAGAGCCTTTTCTCATTACAAACTTTACCAAAAGTAAGACCTTGTATTGTTAGAGCATTACCAGTGGTTTCTTGTAGTCATTTGGCTTGATGCAGCGGATGAAGTATGGCTGGCACTGCTCCAGGATCTTCATGAGCTTTTCCAGGGATTGCTTGAACTGTCCTCCCAGTGTCGAGAGGCGCTTGGTGGTATCCAAGCCCTGGGAAGAGAAAGCACATGCTGACTGCAACATCATTCACTCTCAGAGGCCAATTAATAAACCTTTGTATTTTTGTACAATCTAACAGCATCACACAACCACCAGGAAAAAAATTATTTACCTACATGGGAGTTACATTGGCCATCTGCCTCTTATTAATTTATGTTTATTCTTGTAAAGAAACCCCTCACTAAGTGCTTTCACTTCTTGGGCACTAAGTTCTAGCCATAGGGGTGGCTGTGGTGGAAGTAATTCCACCCACAGGAGCCCACATGCACCTGGCTGTTCCAACCAAGGCTGTGTTTAGTGCCAGGCCTGGGTGCCAAGCTGTGATTCCTGAGAGTGTGCCTGAAATCTTGGTGAGAAACAGCCACTCCCAAAGGAGGAATAAACTCCAGGCCAGATATTTTGCTGCCATCATAGCTAGGAATGCTAAAGATCCAGAACAGCCCATTCCTTAGGGATTAGGACGGCTGATCACTTTGCTCATTAATATTACAGCAAGCAGTGAAAAGGCAAACTTTTACTGGAGTATAAACTATGAGGTGCTCCAGACTTCCCCAGCCTCTCTGACAGCACAGTTCCACCTGTCTTTTTCACACAAATTAGGCCTAAGTTTCTACATCTCAGTATGAGCACATTAAATTACAGTGACAAGAGTACAGATTCCAGGTAACAAAAGGACTCCACTAGCCTTTTACACATATAGGCAATGAGCTGATCATTGCAGCACAACACAGCCTGTTTGTTTCTTAGTTTGTCTGGGGGGCTTGGTCCATTGTGGAGTTGTTGGAAATTTTTCAAAGTAAATAATTTAAAGTCCAGTGGCTCCCCCTCACTTCCACTATCTTTAGGAAGTGCTCATCCTGCTGTTCTTACTTCTAAAGTTCCCATTTGAATACTCAGATTTCCACACTCAGCTTCAGCTACAGGGCAAGGCTGCCCTCCAGTGATCAGTCATTCCTGTCTTTGAAAGACAGCTCCTGGGAATGTCTCATTGCAGCTCTGATGCATCTTAGGGCTAGCAAGCACCCAAAGTGGGTATAATAACAACATATGCGTATTTTTGTGATTGTCACTCTCAGACCTTAGAGGCCTTTCTGCTGTACCATCAATGGGATGGCCACACAAGGCCAAAGCCCATACCCTCATGATCTCACACATGCAACATTGTTAGAGCTGAATTTGTTGTTGAGTTAATGGTGACTTTTCTGTTGTGGTGTGTCAGGAAAGGAACTCTGAGACCTAGGACAAAACAGTGTTTTCTGGCACGTCACTCATTATTCTTTTTTGTAGCCTGCTTCTTAGGCTTCCCAATGGTGGTCTGATTTATTTGAACACCAACAGCTAATTTCTGTGCATTTTGACATGGGGTAGCCCACATTTGGAATTTCCTTTCTTGAGATGCTGCTGTACTTTTTTTTCAATAACACAGCCTTATTTATAGAGAAAAGGCTCATTAGAGCAATGTAAATACACCTGATATTTAATCTGGAGGTATTCATAGCATTTAAGAGATGCTAAGCCAGTTATCTGCTGCTTATACCAGTTCGGACATTCTTTGCCCCCAGGATGTTTACCTGTCCGTAGCCAGGTGTTCTGGACAGCAGAAAGCCACACTGGGATGAAGACAGAGGAAGAAAGGACAGGATCAGAAAACAATGTCAGGAGAATAGACAGATAACAGGTAAGATAGCTGGCTGATTGTTCTGTATCCTAACAGGAAAACTCAAAGATGTAAACAAGCATAAGTACCTTCACATACTGCTGACACTACATAGCTAAATGTTCAGAAATCAAGGCATGTGGAAGTTGGAGCAGGATGGGGAACCTGAACTGTGCTCCACACTGTTCTCTAGTCCACTGCACTTCACATCCTTATTTTCACTAGGCACAGACACAACAGGCTCAGTGGAGTCTGTGATAATGACCCATCATGAACTTTGTCACACAGTGACATCCAGTCAGTGACAACACGTGGGGAGGCATCAGGACTCATGGTTCTGAAACAACTGCAGGCCTGGCTGCACAGATGTCCAGGGTGCACATGTGCCTGACAGGGCTGACACTGCACTTGTTTACAGCATGAACACCAGACCCTGACTTTTCCTGCAGCCCCCCTGGCAGAAACAATTTGAATGAAAGAGATAGGGATTTGCAGAGACAGTGCAAAAGAAAGAGGTGTGTGGAAGGCAGGGGAAATGAGTTGTTTCTGCAAGACAGTGCCAGTAAACCAACCTTGTAGACCTGGTCAGATCCATGATGCCGAATGGTCCCACGTCCCAGAATAGGTGGGGTTGTTTCCACCTGGAAAATCTCTCTCAGGTATTTGTTTTTGGAGGAATGGACCACTTGCATTACATTAGCACTCAGTGTGTCACGATTTTTCTCCAAGAAATCTATAAGATGGAAACAAAATTATCCTGTCACCTCTGCACCCTGCTGGCTCTAGCACCACTCTCTACCTGAAATCCACTTAATTTACAGTAACTTGCAGATTGGTTTAGAGTAATCCTTCTGACCTCATGATCAACTTCAGATCAACACTATCCTGGAGAGCTACATATCCAGGTCATGCATCCATCCATGCCCTTCCCTTCCCCCTCTGTATCCAGCAGAGATAGACTCACCTTTTGATTCATAAAAGACAACCCCAGCAAAGTGGTTGATGCCAAACTTGGTATCATGAACACTTTTAGGTGGGATGTAGACATTACTTTTACCATGGAGGGAATTGATTTTGACAAGCATGGTGGCATCTGTGCCCTAGAAACAAATACAGGTAAAAAAGGATGGTTAAGCAGATTGTCCCCAGCACTGACCTGTGCTCAGCAAACAAACAGAAGGGGTGCTCAGAGATAACCAAAGCTCAAATTCTGCCCTTATCTGTGTAGTAGATCTGGAGAAAGTGCCAACAGTATCCTTCCTTTTACACAGACCCCTGTCTCAAGCATCATGACAGAACACACCATCAAGCACAGGGCCTGGTGTTCTAGGGCTGTACACAAGTCCCCATAACATTACCAATATCACCAGATGGGCTGAGAATTTACCAGATCTTTGGACGTCACAAGCAAAGCCCCCACCAACCTTCTCACACCCTGCTACCCAGGAAGCTGTAAGGGATGCCTCCTCCTTCTCCTGGGCAGTCACAGTTGTTCTTGCACTCTCCAGCTGGTGCAAGACTCAGAGATCCCTGGAGGAATCCCTGAGCAGATCCCAGCCAGCATGGCCAGACCATGAGTTCCAGAGGCTAGGCAGTCAGCTGGGTGCTTCTCTTCAAAGGTGCCATCATGATGCCATCCCCTCATGGGCCATGTGAGCTCTCTGCACTCACCTGCACCCAGGGCAGTGGGGGCTTTGCTCTCAGAAGTCATGTGCTCTGGGAATCAGAGAAGAGGTGCCTTCCTGATCTGTGGGACCACACTCTTCTTAGGAAAGAAGGGGAAAGCTGTCTGCCTGTACATGATCCTCTAGTTACCTGAAGAACTACAAATGAGCTGAGGCAGGGGCTTGCTTTTCTGGACAACTTCCATTGTCATCTGATTCCTGCACCAACACTCCAGTTTAGCCTCACCATGCTCTGCAGACTATGAAAATGCTCTACAGGGATGTCTGAGATCAGATGCTACTTTCATCTCTGCTTTTCTTCTTTGACATGACTGACCTTTGCAGGATAACATTTCACAGAACCACAGAATCATGGCAGACAACAGCCACAGCCTTTCCCTCATGCACTGAGCAGGTCACTTTGTCATAGAAGGAGATCAGATTGGTCAAGCAGGGCCCTTGCTGACTGGACCTGAGCAACTTGTTGCTCTGTACCTGCTGTGGTACAGATGGTGCTCAAAATGATCTGTTTATGACCTTCCTGGCCAAGGTTAGCTGCCAGGCCTGTAGTTCCCCTCCAGTTCCTCACTATGGTGAACTGCTCAATTAAGTCTGTCAGCAAGGGGAAAGAAGAGCAAGCTGCAGAGCAGACCAACAGCAGAACAATACTCAAACAATTAACAATTTCAAAGATTTCCCAAGAAACTCTTTTAAAATGATCCAGACTCCTTCCTTCTCTGTCTGGAACTGCTGTAAGAGTTTCAGCAGCAAGGCACCAGGAAGAGCACATTCCAGCAGAAAGTGAAGCAGTTGTGTAGTGAGCTAATTTGAAAGAAACATCTATGGGGAGAAGATATTGCCTCTCCTAACATATCTGAAAGCCACTTTTGCACTTCTGTGTGTTCAAACCCAAGTGTTACCTGTGAGCTGTGTGCAAAGCCAGGCATTTCAAGTGAAACCAGAAATTTACCTTTGGGAACCTGCTCTCTTCATCAATGAGGGAGATGATATTCATGGGCTTGAGTGCAATGACTTCCAGAGCCTGGTGGTTGTCAGTGAAGTCAATATTGTTCCAGGTAATGTGCTCTGCAAGGTATTCCTCTTGCTCCAGCTTGAAGACATGGTGCACAAAGAACTGCTGAAGGTGCTCATTGGCAATGTTGATGCAAAGCTGCTCAAAGCTGGGGAAGAACAAGATGAAAGCCATGGTCATCCTTGGCCAGTGCTGCACTGCTCTCTGCCATTTGTTTAGCCTCTGCATTCAATGCATTCCAGATACAGCACTGCCACATTCCACAGTGCTGTGACCACCATCACTGCACGTTGCCAACCTCAGCAATACAAGGAGGCATTTTCTGCTGTGGCAAAGACCAGCAGCAGTGAGCCAGCTGATGACTGAACGTTGCTGAGTAGGCAAGAAAAGATCTTTATGTGTTTCAAGAAACTCCATAGTTAAAGGGGAACATGTAACTGTGAAAATCACTTATGAGCATGTGACATGTTTCTGCTTGCACTGGCACTACCACTTCTTTTATTATTTACTCCTTTATGCTGCACCTGAGTATCATTACCTCATACTTGCTGTGTGGGGTGCCTCTGGGGTGCTCACCACAGTGAGGACCCATGGGGACTGCAGGTTGTGGGAACAGCACAGAATAACAGGAGAGAACACAAAAGATAGAAGACAGACTATAGAGATCCTAGATTCTCTTCCAAAAGTCACTGAGGAACATTATCTGGCTGAAGGCTAGAAATCTCCTCAGGATCTGGAATAGACATGTGCAATGGCTGCACTAAATGAAGGCTGGGGAAGGAGGCAGAAGTTGATCAAAACTGAAGAAAAATGGAATCTGCATGATCAAAATTGGGAAAATCCAGTAATGGAATTCTCACCATTTTTCTGAGAATCAGGAAAATTATGAAAGAGCATGTGTCTCTTTGATTTTTTGTTCTTCCCCTTTACATCAGCTGCTTTTCAGCTCCCTATTGCATTGCATCTGGAGCTTCCTACCTGTTGTTGCTGAAGTTTTCAAACCCAAAAATGTCCAGCAGTCCAATGGATTGATGTCTGTCTTTAGGCTTCTGAGAAGATGGGTTGAAAATGGCTGAGTTGATTTTGTTCACGATCCACAAGAAAATCCGTCCATATATACCCTGAGAAAAAAAATGAAAGAGGAATTGGAGTCCATCATTGGAGACTCAGAAGGACTGTTCTGAAAGCATCCCCAGTCTTTAAAAAGGGAAGCTGTGAGCACCAGTACCTTCACAAAGGCATCCTTTCCATTGGCAGCTTGAGCCACATTCAGAGGCCTGGACACACTTTCTCCTCGGACAATGATGGACAGGTTTGTGAGGCTGTTCTGGAGTTCACTAGAGTCCACCTGGAGAAAGAGTCATGGCAACCTGGTCATTCCAGGTGAACAAAGGAAATCCAGCAAGGTTGTATCAGGAGGAGGACTGTGACAAACTGCTTGTCCAGCAGCATCCACTGGCACCTTGCTGTCCCATTTAAAGGTCTCCCAGCTTGGAGAGACATCTGCAACAGCATGACTGGAGTGTCAGCAGGACAGAGGCAACATGCCTGTTGAATGATCATTCCTACATAAACTCCAGAGATGTGCTCTGCCAGTGTGCTCATGGACCAAGGGAGAAGGAAGAACCAGCAGAAGATGAGTGTCCATTACCTCGAGCAGCTTGGTGGCGATGGAGAAGTGTGGGGAGTCTATCACATCAGAGCAGTCCAGGTTGTCGTACACGGCCGCTGCAAGGAAGAAACAGCCTGTATTTCTGTGACCCCGTAACACTGGGAAGGTACTCAGTTCTCATTTGAAATGGACAGGTTTGGTGATTTTACCAAGGAGGGTCCTGATTTCACCTGGATCCTGGGATCTACAGGGCTCTCTCATGCCTAGAACGCCAGGCTAAAAACAGCAGCCAAACTGACAAGGTTATTCATTTAAAATAGTAACTGTTGGGGATCTGGGGAAGTGATATCTGACTCCAGAAAATATGTTTCTGGAAATATTTTTCCTGCATATCTGACTTGTGGGAAATTAGGCAACAAAGAGGAATACAAGAAATCCCTAATTTTAGTAGTCAGGATTAATCCAAAGAATCCACCTGGAATCTCTGTATCGGGCCTGCTGTATCACAAAGTGAGGAGCTCTTCTCTAAAATGTGAAAGCTTTTGGCATGTGCTGGTGGGTCACACTGTCACACTGTGCCTGTCCATTCCTATGCAGGTGAGTTTTCAGCAGACTTAAGCAGGAGGATGGCTGCTATTGTCTCCAAGGCAAACATCACTCCTGTGTCCTCTGGTCTGTGTAGAACAACAATCAGCAAATGTCGCACGGTATTATGTTCTGTTGTTTCAGTTTGTGTGATAAGGGCCTATTTACAACTATGGAGACCTGACAGTGTGGCAAAATAAAAATCAGATGCTGTTTTCCAAAACACATAGCAATGGAGTCACAAATCAGAACTTCATGGTGCTTATGTGCCTGCCCTTCCAACTCTGTTCACCTGTTAATACAGGTCAGAGCAGCACAACCTAATCTGTGCAGGGAAGTACTTTTACCATGAAGTCTGAGGAAAGGTAAGCACAGGCAATGCTGAATTTACCTTGGAACTCTACATTCCCCAGGTGCAGGATGGCAGCCAGCAGCTTGCTGATGTCCCAGTGCTCAGAGTCTGAGAACATGAGGATCTTCATCGCCGAGCGGATGTGGGCATAATCCTTGGCGTCGTTCCGGCTGTCGCAGGACGTGCAGTTACCCTGCAAGCACCACACCAGCAGGTAAGGAACATCCTCCTGCTACCCACACAAGGATGAAAGCACATGCAGACTGACAAGCCTTTGTGCACAGGGTGGCTATCCTGTGAGTCCACAAGAATGCAAGGTAAAAACCTACTTAGATGTTCTATATCCTCTTCTCATGATTGTATCTTCCTTTATATTTTCTCCCAAAAAAATGCATTAACAGAGGGCTCAGTGATGCATTTCTCCAGGGCTAGGCTAAATATTGAGGAAGCCAAAAGGAAAAGCTGATGGGAAGGCCACTCTGGAGCATAGAAGGATAGGAAGCTTTGACAAGATTACCTACATTTACAAGGCCATGCCTGTTTCTTTGGTTTCCTCTCTCTGCCTTGTCAGTGGAAAATTAAGAGCCCTAATCCCAAACCAAAGCAAGTCAGGTTGGATAAGTACTAGAAGGCAGATCTCAAAATAAAAATATTAGGTCCTAGTGGAAGGCAAATGGAAGCAACCAAGGCAGCATTAGAAGCACCTTCATCAAAGCCTGCACAGCAGGTCCTAGGATGCTGCTCCTGATAAAAACTATTTTCAGCCATAACAGAGATGAGGAAATGCCTTTTTTACCCCTGCCATTTCTGATAATACAGTGTGATGATTACAAAAATGAAATATTCCTAGTCATTTCTGTTTACAGTATGTAAAGATGCCTGCTTGTACCAACAGCTGACCTTTACAAAACCATGGATATGTTCTCCTTTAATCCAGTCCTCCTATTTCAGTATCACAGTGCCCTACTGCTGATCAAGGGGCCTTTTCATGGAATGGCCAGTGGGTTAATTGCACTACTTGCACTCATCAGTTTTGCTGCAAGATCACTGCTATTTTGAAAACATTACATTTGAAAAAAATCTCTACAACTTTATTGATTTTGCTTTTGAGACCCCAAAACCAGATTTGTTTTCATTTCCTAGAAATTAGATGCCCAGCTCCATCTAATTTCAGTAGAGGCAGGACTTAAACACATTCTTTCCACAGCTGTAGAACAGCCCAAATCTAACCAGCTGGCATATTTATTATGAGGTATATGCACAGACTAAAGGATAGGATTTTCATCATGGCTTTCATGTTCTAAACCATTCAATTAGCTATTTTCAAAAACCTCACCTATGAAGATCCCACTTCTGCCACAATGGCATCATAACTCATGGTCATTAGCATCAGTCATGAGAAGTTATGCTGAATGCCAGCTGCTTGCATTATGTATATAAGATTTATTAGATATAAGGACTAGGATTCTTATTAATTTTCCTCTAAGTTACACATATGTGATTACTGTTCTCCCTGGCATGAAATCCCTTCCATTCCTTTGAAATCTGAGTGTCTGTGAAAGTGGGGGATGTTGTCCACATTCTGCTTTAAGGTGTCCTTTGTGTTTCTTAAGTCTGACTTCGACAGAAAGCTTTGACCTGCCACAAGCTGCTTCCCACTGGTGGATAATACAGGAAGTGTCTGAAACTGATGCTCACAGCACTTTTGGTGTTACTGCTTCTGGTACTCTTAAGGGAAGGACTGTTCATCTTCAGTAACTACCATCTGCAGCTCCTAGTGATTGTAACTGCTCACTGGAAGAAGCAAATGGCAGAGGGATATTAGAGAATAAAGCAAAGATTATTACCATAGTGAGATAAGTGTACTCTGAAGCAGTGCCCAGATTCAGCATCTTTTTCTGTTCTGTATTCATCCCCATTAGCATGCAGTAGAAGATGTGATAGTTCCTCTCCTCTGGAGCCTAAAAATAAAACAAATGGGCCAATGGACAGCTTGCCAGGACAAGTTTCTAACACAAGAAGAGGCAGAGCATACCCCTGCCAGTGGCCTCACCTGCCGGCAGACCCGGGACTTCTCCAGGAGGAACTGCTCTATGCGGGCTCCTTCTATCACACCACTCTGGTTGAAGTGAATATCAATGTATTTCCCAAAGCGGCTTGAATTGTCATTTCGAATTGTCTTGGCATTTCCAAAAGCTGATGGGCAAGGGACAGAGATAGTATCTGTATTATTGCAGTTCATGAACATCAAGCCTGTTTTTTCCCCCTTCTACTTTGCTGTTAGTATTTTACACATTGTGTTCCAAATGACAGCACTGAGAGGCACGGGAGAATGTCTTGTCTCAGTCTGTCTCCTGAAGAGAGGGGCAGGCATGCTGTGCACCCAGATAATGGGGTCCTAAAAGACATATTCAAATGATCCAAATGTGGTCTACATCTGGCCAGCCAAGAGATCTGGGCATGTCTGAAGACCTCCAGTATGATTTACTGGGAACATGCTGATCCCTGTACAAAGATGGGTGTCTCAGGGAGCTCCCCTACAGATACATCTATGCTTGGCCAGTCACTTTGTCACTGTCACATTTGTTTGGCAAATGCCAAACCAGAGGGCTTTGCCTTGGGCTCTGCAGTCCCAAGGGCTCTTGTGCTCCTGGCAGTTCCAGGGTGACTACAGAGGCAACTCCTCCTACAGCATGAGAGCAAAGCTGCTGTGGACTGCATGGGAACGTGACAGAAAAGTACAGAGAACATCTACAGTGCATCACCAGTGTTTCAGGGGGTTACCAGTTTAGCAGATACAATGGTTCAAGGATCTGTTTCTGATTCATTTTATCCTGAGAGAAATGTGGTAAATCAGCCATGTTTGCTAAGTAACCCACCTTCCAGAATGGGGTTGGCCTCTAGGACTTGCTGCTCTATCCAGGAATGCTGGCCACTGACAGCTGCCAGAAACTGTAGTATTAGCTTTGTACTTTCAGTTTTACCAGCTCCAGATTCTCCACTGCAGTGAGAGAAAAAGATCATTACAGGCCTCCTAATTTTTTTTAGTAATGTGGCAGACCAAGTTAAAAAAAAAAAATCCACTTAAGTTTACCCTGTGAATGGCAGATAAGACTGTCTTTCATAGAGGGCTGGAAAATTTGAGTCTTTCATCATCTTATTTGCTCAAATTTACGTTGTCAGATTTAGGCTGAGAACTAAATTCTCCCACCAATTAAAAACAAGCAAATCCATGGAAGATGTTCTGTACCTATGCAAATTAAATGACCACTTGCTTATCTTCTTTATTGCACTACCAGATTGTCACTGCTAGTGTTAGCACATCAGCTGAGGTGACTCAGCTATAATCAGATGCTATTGCAATGAGACTGTCTGGTTCTTCACCTTGATGACAAATAGAAACTGGATTCTTTATAGGAACAAAAATCTTCCATCCACCTTTGGGTTAGCAGAGATTATTTCTCTTGAGGAAATGTCTAGCCTTGGAAAATACATGTAACATAAATATTCTGTCTCCAAGGTAAAAGATAGCCCTATGTCACACTCAGGTCTTATGTTTCTGTATGTGACCATGTGCAGAATGTACAACCACATTGAAAGACTGAGGGAAAACAATGGGCTTTGGAAATCCTTTGCTTATATTTTACCTTTTCCAGTCCTAACTGAAAATGAAGGAGCAGGGAAGAAAATATTTCCTTCCTGTTGTCTCTAGTTTTATCTGTGCCCTTCCATTTGGAAGGTCTGGAGACCTTCCTGTGTCCACAAAGTGCCCCAAACCATGCCAGACTTGGCTTCTGCTATTTGTCCTCTCCAAGTCCATTCACCTGATGACACAGCACTGGTCTCTCTTATTCCTCTTCATGTTGAAGTAACAGTTATCTGCAATGGCAAAGACATGAGGTGGAAGCTCTCCAATCCTCTTGTTACAGTAGAGTCTGATCTGATCCACTGTGTAGAGGGGCAGCAGCTGGTATGGATTCACTGCTACAAGGATTGATCCTGTGTAAGTCTGGAAAACAGTTGTGAGGATTATTGCTATAGCCAACATGCAAACAAGAATCCAACCAAAGCCACTTGCAGTATAAATCTAAACAGGGGCAGGAGGGAAGCCTGGGAGATCACAGCACTGGGTGAGGCTGAGAGCCCAGTTCCTCACTCTCAGCTGCTGTTGAACACCCCAGGATGAGGAGGGGTTTGCCCAAGGAAGAATGCCAGGTGTAATCTCTTGCTAAATGGCAGCTCAGTTCTCTGTCCCAAGCTGAAGCACACAGAAGTGCAATTTGACCTGGCACTTTGGTGTTCTCATAAGGTGTTTTGCAGTGTTTTGTTAAGCTGCTTTTGTATTCTAATGCAGATGTAGCTGAACTTTGCTAATGGGCCAAGTTATAGTTGTGCTGTTCATACAGTGATTTAGAAACATTTGTGTACAGCAACGCCAGTGAAATGAAGCAGGCTGTTGAAGGCTGTGGAGATGCAAGGCAATAATATTGTTTGAAAACTAAATTAAACAAATGCAGGCCTGCTAGAGTTTAATATAACAGGTCTATCCACACACCTTGTTAATTGTAACTGTAGGATATATATAATCATTCCTTTTTAACACTAAATATCATCACACCTATGTTGTAAGAGGCAGCTTCTCTCCAGTACTGTAATGGGAGGCAAAATATCATATCATATCATATCAATCATATCTATCATATCATATCATATATGCAAAGCATGGAAAAACCTGAATATTAATTATAATATTACAAACTGGAAACTGAGGAAAAAAGAAAATAAAATTGCCAAATTTCTCAGTTACAGATAAAACCTGTAATGGACAAAATATCCAGATTTATTCGTTAGCCATCTTATTACATCAAAATCAAGTAAATGTTGGCTTGAACTGGGGGACAATTGAAATCATGTCACTGCATGATTTCACTAGTTAGGCTGATCCTCCAGGTAATAGCAGCAGTAAGCTGTAACATGGGCTGGGTTTAGTTCACTCTCAGTGGCTGGTGGCAATGACTGCTCTGGGAGAAAGTAAGTGGAGTCACTATTTGTGCCAGCACTGCGACTGAGGGGCAGCCAAAGTACTCGAGTGAAAGAAGAGAAAAACTGTTTTGTGCCTCCTCACACCCTCAGTCATTAAAGAAGTCAGAGGGCCCCGCGTGTGAAAGGCTCACAGGCTGCTCAAGTGTAGAGGCCAGTCCTGGAAGTGACTGTGGCACTCACATAGATTTTGTGCTCCTGGTGTCGGATGAGGAGGTTGTGCACCATGCCAGCTTCATGGAGATCCCCGAGGCGGATCATGTCTTCCACCCCCTGCACAGAGGAGGGGTGCATCAGGTGCACCATGTGCATATTCCGAGCCGTGATCCAGTGCTCCTGACAAAGGCAAGGCACAGACTTTAAGGTGTGATGCTGTGGGTCAGAGGCAAACCAAGGAGAGCTGGGTAAGACTGGAGTGAGCTTCAGCACAATACATGCTCAAGCAAGCATGTTCCAACTCACAGGGGACTGCCCTATAGGAATTAAGTGGTTTAAAGCAAGATGGTTTAAAAACACTGAATGAAGCCATTCAGGTGAGTTCTGAACAGCGCCAGTTTTAACACTGCTCACAGTGCAACTCTGTCATCACAGGCAGAACATTGTATGAGGTAGGGATGAACTGATTTCAGTGGGATATTTCCACCTAAAACTTCACCAAATTTAAGGATTGGAGCCCATCCATTTCCTTTTCCTAGCCATGTAGATATAACCTCTTATCTTATGAAGGTTTGAATCTTCCTAGTGCTTGGACCTGGAGATGCCAGGTGACCATCCTATACTTGCCTTATTTCTATAGTCTTTCTTTCAGTATATCCTACCTATATCAAAGTCAGACCACCTGGATAGATGGAGCTTTGGTCTGACCCAACAGGACCTTCTTTTGTATTTTGTACTTTTACATTTCAGGCTCATCTTTTACAGAAGGTTATAGCACAGCCCACCTTGCCTTCATCATCCTCCAGCAAGATCCGTCCTGAGTCAGATTCCTTCACAACTGCCCCAATGGGGACATTAAATTCACTGTTTGGTTGAGTGTCCAGCCACACATGATCACCCTGGAGAGAAAAAAAGCTACTGTCAAGTACAGTGACATACTTGATGCCATGTAACTCACAGGCAAACACCTCTTGGTCTTCCTTTTTTAGTCATTTGATTTTTTAGCAGTGTTTAACTGGGTAAGTTCTTACTGCTTGCAGGCAGTACATTTACAGATCTCTGAATATTTCTCCCAGCTCCACAGCTGATCTGGAACTTGACCTTGGACAAGTCATCAAACCCAGCTGTCTCACAAGAGGAAATGAGACTTTTTCCAAGGACAGCAGTGATGCAGCTCCAGTACCTCTCAGAGGCTGGCTGGGGGCATAGTGAATGCTGGGGAACTGTCTTGGAAGCCTCACATGAGCTTGATATTATCTCAGAAGAGATTCTTGAGAACACAGACTTTACCATGAAAGAGAAAAACAAACAAGCAGATGTACATACTGGATGCCTGGAAATGTAGAGGCCTCCGTTATGATAAATTTTAGATAATATATTTTTCCTGTTATAGCTGAAATGTGAGTGCATCCATGATCTCTCTTAGAAAAAAAGCCACCAACATTCTTTATCCAGCCCAGTTCCTCTCTTCACATAGGTGGAGGCTTGTCAACATCTGGCACCGCTGCAGAGCAAGCAAGAACCTGCTCTGCTGGGCCTGGAGGAAGGGGTGAGCCACATTTCCTAGGAATGAGCAACATCTTGGTGTTGCCTGTACCAGTGCCCTGGTTTTACTTCCCTACTCCAGGCCCTCAGGAACACCTTCTCTTGCTCCAGTCCCTAATACAAAATCAAACAGAAAGATGGAATAAAAACTGAACAGAGCTGTAGATCAGTGGACTTCGTAGCTGTGTCTTGCCATATGCAACTTTTGTTACACACCACAGCACTGATTGTCATTGTTTCAATGTTCTTACTGAAAAAAAAAATTCTCTTTCCTCTCAAAATACTTTATGGGTTACATTTAAAACCAAAGAACTAGTGTAAAGCATTCATAAACATTACACGAGATTATGAATGTTACAGACTAACAGCTGTTACTTGTGTTGAATAAAACTCCAAAGGTAACTTGTGCCACACCTTGTGACAGAGGTCACCTCTCAACAAGAGGATGGCCTGGTGAGGCAAGACACATCTGCTTCCCTAGTCTAGGCTGAAACTATTTTATACGTTGTTGATACTGGGTTATTGCAACTTTCTTTTGATTGAACCATGATGGTAAGGTAATCTTCCTCCTCCTTGGGCCTCAGGCTAATCACTCAATCAGAAAAAAGAGTAGGACTTACCTTTCTGAAAACCACCATTATGTTTCAGATCACTGTATGCAACCTGCATGCCAAGAACATAATGTTAGGTCAGAAAAGGGCTTTGATGAGAACAGACAGTGGGGTTTCCTTGCAAAAAAAATAACATTAAAATATCTTAAAATAATTTTGTTAAAGCAGAAAAGATCCTTAAGATAACACCCAATGTACAAACAATGACACCATCTACAAAGAACCTGCAGCACTGGGGTGGTGCTCTGAGTCTTACCACATGACCCTGGAGATGCTCTTAGCCCTAAAGATTTCACTGTGCACATTTTCATACCAAATAGTTCTCTGAATCAGGTGCTAGGCACAATTATTGTCTGAACTTCAAGGTTGGCTTACTAACAAAAAGACTCCACAGTACAATGTGATTTGATGCACAAGAGTTACCTTTAGCTGGTCCATTGACGCAGCAGTTCAGTGGCTATCCCAGAGACACAGGTTTAATTCATACTTTCTGAGCTGAGTTCCCTCAGACCCTCCAGCTTGAACTCACCAACAAACAGAAACAGAGGCCTAGAGTTCACCTTCCTTGGCTGGAATGGGAGGGATTGCAATCAAGGCGTGAACGGCAAAATAAGGGATGGAGGGAACCACAATAAAATTAGCAACTCACTACCAAGAACATAACAGCCAAAATATCAGTGGCCAGAGATCTACAGCAGTGCTTTAACTAAGGGATGATGCACTTTAGGCTGTCCTAACCAAGAAACTAATGTCTTCAGAGCAACTTTCTGTCCCACAGAGCTGGATTTTGGAAGTGATTCCATGACTAGGATGATTTGCCAGCTGGTCTTTCTTTCATATTCTGTTATTCTTATGGCAAAGCCCTCATGTTCTTATTCTGGACTCGGAGGCAGGACCTATGTATCAGCTTCAACACTGAGATGCCTGTGGCTGTGAGTGGTGCAGGGTGGCACAGAAGCACAGTCCTTGGCAAACATAGGCTAAAGATGGGCCACAGTCACTGATTCACAACTGACAAGCACATTTTCACCTGCACCAGAAAGCAGAATATGGCAAAAGAGGAGAAATGTTGACCCCGAACAAGGAGGGAGTGGCAGATGCAAGCACAGAGACAGCCATACAGTGTCACAGCTAAGGGACAGCTGTCTCTGGATCCCGTCTGACAGCAGCCACGAGCAGACGTGTAGGGAGGAGATCCCATATAATCCCAGGATATGAAGTTCCAGCAATTCAAATTCTTATTCCCAGAGAAGCCATAAGTGGCCAACCCCTGCAGCTGGTTGCATGGCCACTTCCTGGCCAAGCCTGGCTCTCTCTTCTGTTTCTCTTGACAAAGTAATGCTGCACCATAAACCAAATCACACCCCACACGATGGGAATTTACCTCTCCAGAAGAAATCTTCACTGTGTGGCTTTTGCAGCTCAGGTCCCTCTTTTTCATAAGCATTGGCATAAGAAGGGAAAGGAAGGTAAAACTGGCCCTGGTGCCATTAGGTTCCAGTTCTCCACTGCACAAAGGAGGAAATGACTGAAGCATGGTTATTTATTACAGGACTTTGCTCCCAGTTCAGTGTATATGTCACTTCCAGGTCAGGTGTTCCAGTGAGCATGAAGGCTAATTCTTGCTTGAGTGAACCTTAAACTTCCGTCTCTCCACTGGGCCTGTACCCTTTCAAATTTCTGGAAAGCACTCCCAGAATAAAATCCTTTAGCATCTGGTCTTATCCTGCTCCAACATGACTGATTTCCCTAAGACTGTGTCTCACCCTGTTATGTGTGAAGAAAATCAGATGCTCATTTCTTCACCAAGACCTCCCCTTGGTTTTCCATAGCTCTTTTCTGCAAGCAAATGCCCATCAGTCTGTGTTCTGTCTGGTCTGTGTTCCACAGTACTTCAGACCAAAATTAACTCATCACAGTTAACTGAAATTCATACACACACCCATATAATGGGATAAAATGTCCTGCTTTCACTATCATTAATTTATCTCTCAACAAACACTCTGTCCCTGTGTTCCAGAATCTAGCTGCATGTTAACTCCCTATTTTTCTACTTCTGTCTTCCCAAAATAGAACAGGATGGCCAAGAGCTTTCTTCTTTCTGTTGGCTCCATACGTACTCTCTGTGTCCTTCTTGCAAATCTGGTAAAAGTCCAGTATGGGAAAGAAACAGAAGTGTAGTACATCTGTAGAGAGGCAGATACAGGGTTTCTCCAGCCAGAGCAAGAACTCAGGAATCAAGCACATTCCAGCCCTTATGATGAGCCCTAACAGTGAAGATGAGATTTTTTCCATGTATCTTAACTCTGTACTGTCACCCTCCTCCAGGGCCCTGTGCACAACACTGTGCACTAGTCTGTGTACCCACTATTGAATATGCAGATGTCAGTGTGCAATAATTGACAGCATGTGCTAGCTCACCTAATACCCTAATTCTTATTTTCTTGTCTCCTAGGTTCACTGTATAAAGGGACCCTGCTGTAACTCCCTGTCCAAATCAGAGATAAGTATTCATGCATGGCAGTAAATAGTTGGGAGTAGCACGTGTTTATCAACATCACATATTTGTGTTTTAATGTCAGCCTCCTTACCTGGGATTTTATTTAAGTCTTACAGCAGATACAAATGCAGAAATAAAATGTAGGCCCTTCAGGGCTCAGAGACTTTTGGAGAGAAGCAGAAAGCCAAAGAGAGCTTTCTTCAATTTCTAACTGTGCAAATAATTCCCACTCAAAGATTTTGCTTCAAAGTAGTTCTTTGGCAGACTTATTTTTGATACAGTTTGTGATTAACAAAATTCCAAGTACTGGTTTTATTAGGTAAAGGTCAAATAGTGGCAAAGCAATCAAAGTACATACCTTTATACTACCAAGGCAGATTTCTAAATCCAAAGCTTTCTGTAAAATTGGACAAAAAAATGCCAAGCATATTCCTTCAGAAAACAAAACATACCTGCTGAAATTCCAAATGGAGCCTGTTTGGGGGCAGAGAATCTCATTCTAAAATTAACTACATTGTTAACACTTTTGCCCAAGACACAGTGCCTGTGCTTCTTCAGAGAGAAGTACAGGATATATGTCTTATAAACACTGTACTAGATGGAATCATAGGGAAATCAAGGTCATCTGAAAGAAAAGTACAACTCCTTGTACAGCTGAAATATGCACTAGAAGGGAGATTTTGATTTCCACAGCTGATATACTCAAGAGGTAGAAAACAAAAGCTGAGGGAGCAGGCACTTGATATACCAGGGGGAAGCAGCCAAGATGCGCTGTGCAGCACATGCAGCTCATGAGATGAGCAGGCTAAAGGTGCCTCCAGAGAAGGACCTGTGAGTGCACAGGGGCAGCCCAGGTTTGGCAGGCACTGAGCTGTCCAAATGGGGAAAGGCAGGAGAGGAACTTGCCAGGAATGAGCAACGCAAATAAAGCTCAAAAAATTATTAAGTATGTAACAAGACACTGGCACAGGCTGCCCAGAGAAGCTGTGGCTGCCCCAGCCCTGGAAGAGTCCAAGGCCAGGTTGGATGGGGCTTGGAGCAGCCTGGGATAGTGGGAGGTGCCCCTGCTATGGTGCCCCTGATATGGATGAGCTTTAAGGTCCCTTCCAATCCAAACCATTCTGGGATTCTATGATGAATGCTGCACTGAGAAAAGCAACAAAATAAAATTGGATGAACCTGGTGAATTTAATCCTGCTGTTGTTCAAAGTAACAGGTCTGTCCGGATAGACATGTGTTAACAAAACTCCCTCTTTCTGACACTTCCTAATTAAGAGATTGATGTCAGGATCAAAGGGTTTAATTTGCACATGGCACTACTTGTCATATTTTCTCTCTAGCTAAATCAAAGTGGCCTTGTCACTTCTGCATCAGGTCCTGGATACAAAACATCATTTTATGTTAAACTAGTTATTTCTCTGAGGTTTTTGAAGCGAGGTGGATTGGGTGTAACAATTTGCAATTTAAACTGTTCATTCAGCAGTCCTCTTGCCTACACTAACCTCCTTCCCCTCCTCTAAGCAGATTTGTAGCTCTAAGTCACTGATGTCTCTTAACCCTGAAAGGGGCAGTGCAGGAAACAAGCTAAATAAGAAGTACATACCATTACAGGATTTCCAAGGGCATCGCATGATTTTCTTAAGCATTCTGTTCCTCAGGGAAAGGAATTTCATTCCAGCCTGTTCATGGAGTTGCACAGTGAGGCAGACTGGCAGGGCTCTGGGATCTGTGTCATTACACACCTTCACACATGCCAAGTGGGCGCTGCTTACGCTGCTTGGTAGAAGACAGGTCATTCTCCCCCACTGTGCAATCCCATTACGGTCTGACTGCCACTCCATCCTTCCTTTTGGAAAGCAGCCAGGATGGTATTACAGGAGTACGTTACAGACTGCTACTGCCAAGCCCTGGCTCATGAGGAACACAGGCATGTGCAGGTTGGTGTGCACACACACGTTACCTGCAGCACGAGGGCTGGAATGGATGCCCACTTATTCAGCATCCATGAGGTGAGCTTGTTTCAGACACAGTGCTCCCTCTCCTGGGTGATGCATGTGGCGTGTCATAAGTAGGTTAGGAGGTTTCATTTCAGAAAGACTGGAATTCATAACAACTGGGAAGAAACCTCTGTGCCTCCTTCCACTCTCAGTAAATGTACAAAATCTCTAATCTTTTATCAGTGCTGCCTCAGTGCATCTGGAACTTAGGACAGTGGCTCACCATCACTGTAGAACATGACACATATCTATAAAGGACTAATTTCCAAGCTAGAACTATCATCATACTCTGATCCTCTTGGAACTTTAGTATGGGATAGATTTCTGTGTTTTCTAGGCACCTTGGTACAATTTTCAGGTACCTTGGTACACATTATTCAACAGGGAATTTGGGGTTTTTTTTGTTAGTTTCTATTTGTGTTTTCCCTTGTCCATTATTTTCTGTTACACTACTCCCAAGTTGTTTCCTTACTGCTTTATTTGTTGTGTTGTAAAGTTGTCATCCTGCCTTCTATTTAGTCAGTTGTGTAAAGTAATTCAATTTCTTTATGGAAGTCAGAGAAGTGCGATGACAGGAGCCTCCCATCACATACTGTCACATATGCCTGTTCCTTCCAGAAAAGAAGTGAAACTGCACAGTGCAAAGACCTAAAAGAAGTAAAAATCATATGGGAGCAGGAAAAAAGGGCATGATACCATTAAGAGTGTGGTCCTGAAACTCACTTAAGGATCTTTGTGGCTATCTGGAAAAGACCAGAGCAGTAGAGCTGTAAACAGAGACATTATCTGTATTTTATGGAAGCTGCTTTCAGGGGAAAAATAAAAAAGGTTTTCTGCATTTTTGCTAAGAATTTAGAATTGTATCCGAGAAACATCTGACTCCACTGCCACTTTCTCCTTCTAAGTGTTTCACTGTAGAAGATGTTGAGTAATGACTCAGT